ACACCACGACACCAGCAAAGATACTCCCCTCTGCCCGCACGATTACCAAAGCAGTCGATGCACTTGCAGCAATTGACGAACGCCGACTGGCCAAACGTTCGCGATTCTCGATTGAGTACAATAATGCAACTTCTGAGGACCTTGACTCTACCTCACCCGTCACGGACCGGTACATTGCCGCCAAAGGGGTTGAAGTTGTTCGCGCCCGCACCAACTTTTTGGCATCCGAGCTCAACACGCTGTGGACCAATATCAAGCCATTCGTGACAAAGAACTAGAACGTCGGCAGTGGACGGAAATGTCCAGTGACTCGGAAGGGCATGTTCTTCATGACTAAAGCACGCGGGCACCTGGGACGTTCTTTCCGCCAGTTTTGACGAGGTTACCGCACCGTTCAGTAATCGAATCAACCAATTCATTCGCGGTCTCCATCCATACCTGGTCCGAAAGTACATCGACGAGAAAGGCATGAAGTGGGCAATGCAGGAGCTTTGTCGTCGCTGGCCTGTAGTTCGTAACCCACAAGTCGGCACTGTATGTCGTTGATGTCACCTTCCAGTAGACAACTGCACCCGCAGTGTCCTTCAGCGAGAAGAATACGTACATTTCTAAGAAGCACAGAATCTATGGACGCAAGGTTGAGGTGTCCGTTGCACCGAATGGCTTGCCGATCAACGTCACGGATTGTGCTATGGGCAGCACGTCGGACTTCGAAATATTCAAGGCAAACTTGGGCTTTCACTCGACGCATCTTGAGAAGAACCGAGCGACACCGATGTCAGCGACAACGACGCGCTGCGCGACAAGTTCCCGAGTCAATGGTCCGTCCTTGCGGACAAGGGGTATCAAGGCATCCAAGAGGACGTCCGTGGCTTAATGCCGGTGAAGCGCCCACGGCACGGACATCTGACAATGGAGCAGGAGCGGGCCAATGCCAAGTGGTCGTCAGATCGTGCGATTGTGGAGAACTTCTTCGGAAGGCTCAAGAGGCTGTGGGGTCTGGTGTCTGACAAGTACACGTGGAAGAAAGATGAGTGCAACATGTACTTTCAGACGTGTGTGGCCCTCACCAATGTCCACGTCCGGTTCAATCCTTTGCGGAACGTGGACGGCGAGGGCTACAATCAGTACTAGAACCGCTTGCTCTCGATTGGAAGCAAGATCAAGACCAAGAACTCGTCCTCCAAGGCGAAGTATCGCGAGAACCGTAAGGGCCGGATGCAGGCTGTGTTGGGTCGTGCAAACTGGCTACACCAGCGAGGACTACGACATTGGCTATGAAGAGGGAGACGATATCTTCGATTAACTTCAGCTCAGTTCGCATTTTCCCATCATATATTATTTGTGTAAAAATTTTGATTTTGGGAAAAGCTTTGTCACACCCCGGGACTCGAACCCGGGGCCAATCCACCACCGCGTAATCGTCAAACCGACATGCTACGCGCCAAAGGCGGCTTATATCTTGCTCCATCGATAAAGTCATTTTGTACCTCCACAACTTAATTTCTTGCTCAGATTTTGGCAAGTATCAATCCAATGGAGTTTTATAAGGATAGTGACTACCTTTACGATTTAATCGATCCTTTCATATAGTGTACGAAGACAACAAGACAGCGAGTCACATGTAAGGTAAATGTGTACATACTGCATGTGATCTATCACTCGAGTTTGACCCATTTGTTGGTTAAGAGGTTTGTTGTGCTTTGCACTTGTTTTGGCGTCGGTTTTACGTGGCTAATAGAGTGGTACTTATACTGTAACTGTTACTACTCTTGGGCACAATAGTTGTCGCCTCCATTTTCACTTGATTCATGTATGCCAAATCTTGAGTTTTCCTAATAAACCTGTCTAATTGGATATGAAGTATCGGATTATGTAGGTAAATACACCAGAATCGGGTGATGGCAGGTCGCTTCCGAGATGGCTTGGTGACGCATGGCTGTATGTCAGCTCAGAGATATGGTGCGAGCACGCTTTCAGTGAATGACATGTAGCATTCAATCTATAGGTTCACTCAGCGGAGTACGAACTCTCGAAGAGTTCCCTAGTAGCTATAATGCTACAGGAATCGAAGTGTATATGAACTAACGACGTCTTCACAGCCTGGCGGGTGAAGCACCACATTTTGTTCTTCGCGTGCTGCAGTTCTGATGTCGTACCATCAAAACTACGACGAAATAAGAGGACCTGGAAATAGCCAATCAAAGAGGAGATCCTACGCTATCGATTGCACCAATCAGAAGCAAAAACGGTGAAGTATTACAAAAATTCCACCAATAAGAAATCGAACGTGACAACTATTGTGCGTCAGATTAGTACAAAGTTGAACAAATACCTGGTGTTTTAGCTAATTCACTGGGGTTTTATAAATGCCAAATAACTCTGAGCAATAATAATCACATGTGATGCTGAAGTGACCAAAACACCTTGGCTGTTATTCCATAGCGTAGTACATGCAGGTAGCATGTACTGCAATGGAACAAAAATATGGCGTGGTTTTCTACGATGTGGCACCAAGGGTACGGTAGAACTCCGGCGCTTGTTCTCGCTGTGTGTCATTTGTAATATCAATAGTTGCTCATGATGACCAGTGAATTGTGCAATTTGGTCCCGAGAATAGCAGATATATATTCGATTTGCACTTTTCAAATGTGCAATAGCGAGGGAGTTGCATAAATGACCTCCCTATAATTACATTCTGTAACGAAACGTGACATCGTAAATTACGGTACGGATTATCTAAAACACTGGGGTCGATGTAACAAACACCCAGGTTTATGGTGTGAATAGCCAAAGCGAGTGAAAGCACAATAACAGTTACGTAAAAGTCCTCGAAGGCCTGCACACTCGACTCTTATAGCTATCAGACTATAATGCTACATGAAGCCAAAATCCAGGCTATTCGGGAGTTATGAATGCGATATATTTAAATGTTATATTGTCGATTTGATTGGGTGTGGGCGCTATCGTATCACGCCAGTGATCCGGTATGTGAACGAGTCTGATTGGCTCAATTTACGAAAGCTCAGTGTGATTGGCTAAAGACTTTTGACAGCCCTATACTACGTAGTACTACTAGTTGCTCTGCCGCCGGTGTTAATTGTCGGTTGGAGCAAGATATGCAGTTGTCATTGCTACTTTTTGTCGTGGTAGTTGAGCCTGACATAGTTTTCAGACATTTTATGTTTGTAGTATGCGTTTTCAAAACTCTCCTATCTGCAATAATACGGGGTTTGGTATTTTGACGATGGGAATCAGTGCATGTGCTGTGGGGTCCACTAAACTATGCTAAGACTAAGTCACACATCTAAACTTACTGTAGTAACGATGTGGTCTTTGACGCGTTGGCTTGAAAGCAGTTAGCTCCACCTCGCAGAAACATCGATTTTCGTCGCTGTTTGACACGTGACATGTATGTGAGAATTCATGTCGGTGCCCACTTGCAAGTATGTCCAATCACATCGCTAATTGTCTCATGACATGTTGGCCAGAACACAGTCGGCGCCATCTCGCGGGCACTGCAATAGCTTCGCAGATTGACTCGTGATGTGTTGGTAAGAGTGCAATCAACCTACCTTGCAGGCACGACTACTGTGTTGGATGTGGTGAACAGTACTTCCGTATACACTTCGGAAGGCGTTCGTCAGTGAAGTAGCAGTGTTTTGAACTATCGCCGTGTTGTGTGGCATCACACGAGGACAAATACTTCTGTAGAAAGTTGGTGTGCACGATGATTCGATTCACTGAATACAGCAACGGTTTTGGACCTGCACATATTTCGATTGAACAACGTGACGAAAAACACCTCCGTCAACACACAATGGACGGTGGGTTCCTTAATACCGTGACGTTGTGTGGCACGAAATTACGAATAACATGTCCAGGGGCACTTGATGTGAAGTTCAATGTGTTTCGTGGAAACAGCAAGGGTTTCCCGCCTACGCTGCGGTGAAAAAATGATGCAGGCAATATTTGGGGTCAAGTGTTGGGTAGGTATTGAAAATAGGTTGGGCTTCCTACATTTGATATGATGGTTGATGATACGATAGGGAAAATACGGCATGGTACGTATGATGCAGAATAGTTTATTTCCTTAAAGTAGGTTATGCTCGTGGCCGTCATGTGAATGGATGTGTGCACGATATTTAGAAAGAATTAATTCCGTGTTTTGGAGTATTTAGTTTTCGTCCTTGGCAAAAATGGAGCGGTTCACGACGTTCTGGGTGTAGATTCCGTCGAATCCGGGGATCATGCCGTCCCGCACTAATACAGAGATCCCAGCCTTGGTTTTGGCTCGAGATAGTGCAACATACAGTTGTCCGTGAGAGAACACCGGGCTTGGCAAGATAAGTCCCACGCGACTTAACGTTTGGTCCTGAGACTTGTTGATGGTCATAGCAAATGCCAACTTCACTGGAAACTGGCATTGCTTTATATTGAAAGGAAGGTTGGATTGGCTGCACTCGTCGACCAATGTGATGATGCGCGGTACGAAGACTCGCTTGTTGTCAAATGCGCCGCCCATGATAGTTGCCTCGATGCACTTGGTTGACACTTTGATGACCCGCAATCTTGTCCCGTTGCATAGGTCCTGGGAGAGGCAAATGTTGCGCAAAAGCATGACTGGACATCCCACCTTGCAATGGCAACCAACGTCTTGGCCCATTTCTCGATACTTGCGTCGTCTGATCCATCACGCAGCAGCATGTTCTTTGTCAGCTTAACAATTTTCACGTTGTTCCAGATGCTGCTGCGTCTGAAGGAGGCCTCCACACACAGTGGCCGACGGTGTGCCGCGTGGAATGATTGGCAGGATTTGCTTGAAATCACCCGAGAAAACAACAACCTTGCCGCCAAAGAGGGCTGTGAGTTTGTCCATGAATGATATGGCGACGGGAACGGTCGACGGCCTCCAAGGCATGCTTGTGGATGATTTGAGACCTCGTCCCACACAATGAGCTTGGTATCTCGAATGATCTTTGCCAATGACAACTGCTTCGGAATGTGGCACAAGGGCTTGTCGTTGAGGTCGGTGACGGGGATTTTGATATCGCGAATGTGCCGTTGTGCCGCCTATAAGCAGCAAAGCTGCCAACCCAGACGATGCCACAACAAGCGCGATCTCCCCTTTGTCGCGCACGTTTGCCAATAAGATTTGAGAGATGTATGAGATGCCTGAGCCTCGTTCGCTTTGGAGGAAGTACGCCTTCTCTGATCCGTGCTCGTATATTTGGGCCAAAACAGCGTCCACAAAGGACCTGTGCTCATCAGTCATGGTCGCAACAATGGCCAACACGTCGTCGAAGGCTGCATGACCGTTCGTCTCGGAATACTTCGAATTCATGGAGTTGAGGTAACGTCGGGTAGTCCAAAAGGCTCATCCGATGGTGTCGGAAGCAGTTGTCGATTATCTTGAGTAGAACATCGCCTTGCCAAGTATCATGTCGTCACGGAGCGGCTCTGGGAGTGTTTCGTTGCAGCGGCGCAGGTCCCGAAGCCGCTTGTCCATGAAATCGGCTTTGAATTGGTCAAACAGAGCTCGTGTGTTCGCTGGCAGGCAGTGTGCCAAGATGTTGGCAAACAGTTCTTGCAGCTGTCCGTCCATGCAGTCCAACGTGGCTTGTCGGATATATACCACATACTCTTCGTCGTTTTCCAACAGGCCCATGGACATAGCAGCTTCTTCGTACGACGGATACAGAGTTCTGTGATCTGTGCGCAGGTCTTTCAAGGGCGTTGGTCCATACGTACTGTATGACAAAGCAGGGTTCGAATGTAGAACCGCTCCTTTTGACACGGACTGACCGAATCAATGCGAACAATGACCTTGATGTGGTTCTTGCGTCCGACCCACAACTTGGTCTTTTGGTCAAATCGGAAGTACTGCGGTAAGTCCAAGTATAGGCAGTTCTTTGCAGGAACGCTGTCGATCCCGGTCAAGCCTTGCGCGCAAGCGAGGAAGAAGGAGATCAACTTGGTCTTTTGGTTCCTGGCAACGCCGATTCTGCGTCGTGGGTTTTGTCGTACGTGCAATGCTGTTGATCTTTCTCGTGCACGAGCAATACTTCGACAGCGTGGGACATCATTTGCAGGTCGTAGCAGCGGATGCGTGTGATAGCTTCGAGAGAGGTCGCGTAGCGTCCTTCAACGTACTCCCGTGCTTCGTCAAGCATGGGCTGGCATTCCCGGTCGGTGAAGATAGCTTACTTGATCCGATCGCTGCCCTTGTACACGTACTTGTACAGATACTTGACGGCCTTGATGCTTGTGCAAACCTCGACGTTGATGTGGCAGTTGTACTTGTGCACCAAGTATGGGGTGTATGGCACACAGTACTGGTCTCCGGCCGGATCGCGACGGTACTTGGCATAACCATCGACCCCCTCGGTTGTGGTAGCTTGCAGGGGCTGCGGGAAGCCATTCTTGCACTTGCCAGTCTTGTCGGTGCAAGCTCTCACACTTGGAATCGGCTGACCATTGTCGTCGTATTGCACATGCGTGCACGTATGGGTCATGAAGTTCTTCACTGACTCGTGCAGCTGGGGGTTCTTGATCTTGTCTGGGATGCACGCGGATACCACAGAGTTTATGTCTTCGACGGTCCTGAACTTGTCTTTGTCTTCCATGATGAGGAGCATGTACTGTACACATGCGGCAAGCCACTCTTTTGAAACTCTTCAACACGCACGGATGCGACAACCTTGCCAAGGACGTGTTTCTTGCGGCCTCCTTGACGCTTGCGTACAAATCGAATCGCAACTTGTCTCCGTTCTGCGAAATGTAGCGTAGCCTGTTGGTTTCCACGCGAACGAAGCCGACCGTAGTGTACATCTTGAACAGCATGGAGGATCGGTGCAGCATGTCGGAGAAGTCGTCGCTGTCTCGTTCTTGAAGTCAGTAGTTGAAGAACGCACAGAGAGACAATGATTTCCCGTCGGTCTTCGTCATGGTATACTCCCATCCAGGACCTCCCATTGGAAACAGAAGGGGAAACTGCAACGCGTCGTGAAGTGGATTCGTTTCTCGAATGGTTGTGAACCAGTTCGAGCTCATACTTTGCAGAACCACAAGACGACCTTCTGTCGGTTCGCTGCCGTCTCCCTCCATGATAACCGCAAGCTACCACTGTAGGCAAGTTGTGTATTCGAGCCTGCGCGCCACCAACAGCATTCAGGACAATTTGAAGATTGCCCCCCGATGTCCCGTCCGCTTCCGCTCGACGAAAACATTCTTTGGGAGTTGCATACGTCCTCGCCAATGGGTTGTGGAGAACCATCACTCGCTGTATCGTGGCAGTGTACTGCGAAGTGAACGCCGGAAAATGTTTCGTTGGTGTTGAAGTTGCTCCTCGCTGGTGTGCATGTCGATTTGGGCAAAAGTGGTTGCCCCAGGTTTCCACTTCTGTTGATACTAGGCTGCAACGGACCAATGTTGCGGGTCAGCTGGCCTTGAATGCAATACGTTTTGGGGCCGCTGCCGCCGTGCTTGACCTCGTTGCTTCCAATGGAAGTGAAGTTGAACTGAGCGTTGTACTGACGGATGTGCTCGACGAATTTGCGCTGCTTGAAGAGATCTTGGAACGCTTGCATTTCTTGCGAGTCGGGGAAAACGTTAGGATCCATCTTGACCTTGCCCTTCAAACAACAGGGCAGATTCTTGTAGTCGTGGGGTGTCAACTTTGCTCGGCAGTGCGGGAACGTCTTCGTTTTTGAACTTGCAGCCGTGTGTGACCACCTTCCTCAAACACTTCATACGATTGCCGTCCGATGTAATTCACAGGGTTTCGGCGTGGAGGCCGCACTTGAATCGCATCTTGGACGGGATTTTGAGGAAGGAACGGTGGATCTTCGCCAAGGTCGATGTCCTGGAGGGTGTCCTCGATGAATTGAACCTCCCCATGAATGACCTAGGGTCTTCCAGTGGTTGAAAAGTATACGGCTCGAGCGTCAGATGAAGGCAGATGTCGTATTATGCTATTCGGATAGCCCACACTTCCTTGTTCTTCGGATAGCTGTAGTTTATCCTAACGTAAAAAAACAATTTAAGATAACTTTTTTTGAGGCGTCAGCGTAAAATACACATAATTTTTGACTCAGGTAAGATACAGGGAACTGCAGAATGGCCTATCGAAGTTTCCTATCGTTTTGACCGATAAAATTTGGCATCACTTTTCCTTGCACGTTATTGGCTGCATTATTATTCTCCCACCACTTTACAATTCAAATAAATTTCTGTCCTTCCTCTCCAGCAGAGTAAAAAGTGACACGCGTCACGTACCCGATATCCTTGAAGCTCGAAGCTTTAGGGCTCCTCGAGTCTATGTCCGACTATAAGGTGGCCGAGAAGCTCGGTATACCGCGTCGCACAATACGCAATTGGACCAAACAACGCTTCGAGCTGCTCGCATACGAAGGAAACAAGAAGAGAATGAAGATCGAACCCGGCAGACGTCGCGAGGCCTTCCCCGATCCACCCGGTCTCGTCGACTTCATTAACCAGTTACGAGATGCCGAACGAGCCCTAACTATGCTCCATCTCATCACCTGGATCAACCAACGCGAATGGCTGCTCGCGTACCTCGCGACAAAGCAACCTGCCAACGGCTACAAATCAGTTCATCAAGGCTTCTCTGACGGTTCGCTCGCCGCCACGGCTTTTCACGTCAACGCCCAACTACATGCAAGAAGAGTCTAGTCTTCCTCGCCGAGACTCTAGACGTCTTTGCCGAAGATTTCCACCGAGAGAGTACCGCGCGTATGGGCCGGAGGCGACCTACAATGTGGATGAGACCGGAATCTACTATGGCATGCCGCCCATGTACATTTGGGCTGTCTGTGGAGGCAGCGCGAAGATATCCGCGGGCTAAAAGCACTCCACGCGTATGACTGCTGTCCTTGCCGCTCGGACCGATGGTGTCAAGCTGCCAATCATGTTCATCATGTACCTGGTGAACGCATCGACACGCACGAAGTCCCGACGTTTCCCCGTGGCCATTTCTACGCCGTTCAAGAGAGTGAGTGGATGGACGGGACTGTGTGGAAGTCATACCTTCGCAACGTGCTTCAGGAGGATATCGAGGAAGCATCGGTCATCCTTGTTGACAATTTCGACTCTCACGTTTCCGATGAGTCCATCCGAATCGTGCATGAAGAGTTGGGGCCTCACCTTTGCCAACTGCCTCCGAACGCCACGTCGTTTTACCAGCACCTCGACGTCGGGGTCATGGCGCCATTCCAGCGCCATCTTCGGGAGCTGTGGCTCTACGAAGAAATGATTCAGGGTGATAACGACGATGATCCTTACTCTCTTACTCTCTGACGGCAAAGCAAAAGAAGATGGCTTTGATCAAGCGAGCGATCACAGCTTGGGACATGGTACCAGCTGAGTTGATCCGTCCCAGGTTCGAGAAGGCTTTCAAAACCAGCTCCCTTAAGCCCCCTTGTCCATTCTTTTCCCAACATGAGCAAGGGCCAATACAAGAATAATCTCACCGACGGAGAGTGCAACAACCTGGTCCAGCACCTCTTGACCCGGTGCACTTCGAGCGGCAAGCCGTTCGACTGTACCCCGACGACTGTGCGGCGCATCTGGCGGTGTGCATCTGCATACCTGTCTGGGAGCAAGACGATCTGCGCCACAGTCCACCGGCGGAAGAAGGGCCAAAGCGGGTGCAAACGAATATACACCGACATATCCGAGCGGATTCAAGCCATACCGCAGTCACGACGCACCTGCTTCTGCTCCATTCCCCACGCGCCCAACATCCCCAAGTCAATCCTCCATGTCTACTTCCTGCGTGGCGTCATTGTGAAGTACTCCAGCGTGCCCAAACCCTCCCTGACAGAATCTAGCAAGGTCTGCCGGCTGAATTGCGCCATCAACCACGTGACGGAAATCAACGGCGAGAAGTATTTCGACCCCATGAACGACACTCTTCATGTTGACAAAAAGTGGTTTTTCATGACGCGGCGTCAGAAGAAGGTTTACGGCGTTGCCTGGTGAAAAGATCAAGCAGTAATCGTGCAAGTCAAAGCGTCGCCTGCTCAAGGTCATGTCCTGTCAGTTGTCGCGCGCCCACGCTGGGATGAAGCGAAAGGCGAATAGTTCGACAGCAAGATCGGCACGTATCACTTCACATAACTGCTCAACTGCCACCGTGACTGGAGACACCTACAAGGCCATGATTATTGACAACGTCATCCTTGCGATCCGATCAAAGTGCCTGGTGATGAGACCAAGCGCGTCAAGATTTAACACGACAATAGGCGTCGAGACGTACCGCCGAGTGAGGACGCCATCGTTGTCGCTTGCATGGCCATGGGGTGGGACATGGAGGTAGTGTTCCAACCTCCAAACTCACCGTACTTCAATGTCCTGGACCTTGGCTTCTTCCGTGCTATTCAGACACTCCAAGTTGAGAAGCATTCCAGCAGCCTTGAGGGGATCGTGGCAGCGACGGACATGGCCTGGGTGGCGGTCAGTACGACAACCCTCATCAAGAACTTTCTCACCTTGCAGAGATGCCTCCAGGAGGTTATTCTCGAAACCAGTGGGAATGACTATAAGATCCAGGATATTAAAAGAAACGTGTTGCTTGCTCGCGAGAGGCTACCAGAAATGGATTCCTGTGAAAGAAAAGCGTGGAAGGTTGTGTACATACTTAAGTACGCGGGGGGATGCCGCAGTACTATTTGCACTTGGGCAAGCCTAGAAGGAAACTCTCGTAAATATATATTGGTTTGAAGGGAGGACAAGTGAATAAATCGGGGGATTAGTTACCTTCGAGGAAGGGTACAAATCAGCTTGCAGCCACAGCGACGCGTTGATGGGAAAGTGGATCGTGCGAACGGTAAAGTTGACAAATTAAAGTTTCAGTCCTAGGGTGCAGTCTATGACTCCACTGTAAGAAGCGGTATCACAACCATCTGCCGCCAGAGGGCTGCGGAATTGAACTCCCGCTTTTTCCGTATTTGGCGATAATTTCGCCCGTGTCGAGTGGATCCGTGACGAGTGGATCCTGGGGCGCAAGACTGTCAAACACTAGCGCGAGTGGGCCAGCCCCCGCTTGAGTCGAGCCGGCGGCGGCGGCGTGGACGAGAGCAGCAAGTAACTTCATGGCAATAAGTGAAAACGAGAAATGAAGAATGGGCTGATAATTGTCCGGCATGGCAAATGTCAAGCGCCCGATGACGGAGAAGTTGCATCCGCCGGAGCTTGACCCCGACGACGGGATGGAGTGTGCGACTCCGGAGGTTTATTCTAAAACCTCCGGCGAGGACGAAGAGGAGCGCCGCCTCGAAGCAGGGCGCCGTTCAAATCATTCTGACGGCCAAGGCTGGCGAGGCAGAGACTCGCGATGTGGCTGCACGACCTACTAGCCGAACACATTGATGTGTTCCGTGAAGATTTGGGCGATGACCCGCCTGTCAAGGTCGATCCATTGAAGGTTCGGATCAAACCCGGCTCGACGTCGGTGAAGTGTGGGATGCGGCGGTACCCGCCGCTGCATGTGGAGTACATGTGCAGCCATGTGGCTGCCCTGGAAGCGAATGGTATGGTATACCAAACCAACCGGGCTACGTGGGCCACAGCCCCAAGGATCGTGCTGAAGAAGGAAGTCGGCGACTTGCGCATGACGATCGACAGCAGATCGATCAACGCCTGCACGGAGCCAATGCCTTGGCCGATGCCAAACCTAGACAGCGCGATGGTCTGTCTGGTTGGAGCGAACGTGTTCTTCACGTTGGACTGGACGAAGGGGTACTGGAAGTTGCCGCTACATGCCCACAGACAGATGTACTTCTCGTTCATGAAGCCCTTCTGCGGGGTATACCCAAACCTGCGTGCTCATGGAACAGACGGACGCTGTCGCGTACTGTCAGTCGGGTGTCTACCAAATGTTTGGTGAGCTGCTGTTTCGAGGCCTGTTGGACTGCCTCGATGACTTGCTGGGGTCCGCCAAGACGAAGGACGAGCTGCTCGACTTGTTGGACCAAGTCCTGTCCATCTGTGCCCAGTTCAGACTCAAGTTGAGCCCGAAGAAGTGTCATTTCTTTGTGCTCGAGGCAGAGTGGTGTGGCAAGGTGATTTCGGCAGTTGGAATCACCCATTCCCATAGCCGAATACAAGGACTCGTGGATTTGTCGCCGCCGATGACCGCGGCCGACCTCCAGCAGTTTGTGTGTGCCACCAACTGGATGCTCGCGAGCATCCCCGGTTACAACCAGTTGGTGAATCCTTTGCGACGTCTGCTCGACGTGGCCACCAAGGCAGCCGGAAGCTGCAAGAAAACGGCGTTGGTGCGTGTCGCACTCCCTGCCGTGGGATGGTCGTCCGACCATCTCAAGTGTTTCAACGATGTGAAACACGCGTTGGCGCATGTGGCGCCCCTGTCGCACCCGCGAGTAGACATGACGGTCTGCGTCTTCACGGACGCCAGTGACCTGTTTTGGGGTGCGGTCGCCACACAAGTACCGCCAGCGGACCTGGATTTGCCTCTCAAAGACCAGCGGCACCGGACTCTTGCGTTCATCAGTGGGTCGTTTTCTGGCGCGAGTGCGCGCTGGCCCATCGTGGAGAAGGAGGCCTATGCCGTTGTCGAGTCGTGCAAGAGACTCGACTACCTGGTCGTACGCCCGGGTGGTTTCCGTCTGATCACGGATCACCGCAACCTGGTGTACATTTTCAACCCAAGTGGCTCGAACGCCAACATGGCCAAGTACCAGACCGACGAGCTGCAGCGATGGTCGCTGGTGATGCCGACCTTCCCGTACACCATTGAGTGCGTCTCGGGGGACGCGAATGTATGGGGTTCAGTGATGCGCCGTTTTGTTTCATTCAATTAAATCGTTCGAGCCGTATTGTTGTACAAAACCGACTCTCATGGCAATAATATTGTAAAAGTTTATGGTGGGAAATTATTATATTGAAAAGGTTTTGATGTTGAATTGATATCCAAATGCTGCCTCGAACGCCGTACACCGATGACACCGTGAGGTCAGCCATTAGACAGTCCTATCCAAGGCCTATTCAGTAGAGTAATTATCCACACGAATTTTCCAATACAATTTCCCTGAAATTCCTTCGGGGAATTCCGGTAAGGTGATTCAAGTAATTCCCGGCCAGCTTGGCCTACTTTCTGAGTGCCATAAGTCGTCACCCATTCATCCGATGAGGCTGCGAAAACATGCATTTTGAAGATCATGACGAGCTTATAACTTTATGCAGGTCCCATCATTTCTCTCGCATGGTCAATTTGCTCGTCGAATTTCTAAAATTGAAATTTCCCTGTGTGAATATAATTCCCGGCCAGTAAGTCACTTCAATAATGTATGCCTGATTTGGGTGACATTTCCTCAGAACCTCTTAACATAATATGTAAAAGTGTTCAAGTAATTAAATTTAGAAGTGCAACTAATACATAAACTGTAATACATGTGCGATAAGCCGAACATTAAATCTTACAAGTGTATGTAATTTTGTCCAATCATTGTCCATGGATGTTTGTGATTGGCCATTTGCTGGCCGGGAATTGCATGCTGGCCGGGAATTACATGAATCACCTTAAGCAGAACTACATGCCTGCCGACGTACAAACATGGCCGCTTTGACGAGGTCGCTGTTAAACTATACTGATCAATTAAATATCGTTTGCAAGTTCGATGAGTTTCGTACGCAGCTAAAGGCTCTTGAATCAAGAGCATCATTGTCGACAACGTCTTCCACATCAAAAGTCTTGATGTTCAAGACGTTGTCGGCGTTGATGCCATTGACATTTTGCATCCCTGGAGCACAATATAGTTTGAAATATAATCAATTGATTAGTATTTAATACATTATATGATTTAATACTCCGGGGCTTACATTTAATCGACGAATGGATACAGTACACTTGTAGCAAACAATCGCTGTGGAACTTTGAGAATAACGTGACCGACCAGTGATGTGCCGATTAGCCGATGGGGTTCGACTCCGACGGATCAACCAGTTGCGAATGTTCGCAAGTTGATCCATGTGGTGTCTCCCCTGCAACAAGTGGATTTCGAGTGGCCAACAGCCGCTACGATCAGGGACATCCAACGTTCAATCATTGAAGGGGGAAAGCCCCCTCAAACGGCGTGGATTGGGAAGAAGACTCCCATTTTTACGTGGACCCAGAATGACGAATCTGGATCCCAGACGATTCAGTGGACCTACAGCAGCGATTTGTGTGATCGCTCACCAAGGAGCCACAGGTCACCGTCGCATTGAAATGACGACCAAGTCGGTGTTCAACAAGTTTGTGTGGAAGACGCTTCCCACGAACGAGCTCATCCATTTCGACTGGTTGTCGATGCCCATGGACAACTCTGGCCAAAAACAAGTGCTTGTCCTGAAGCACGACATGAGTGGCTTGAGCAGCTGTTGGCGGCAGAGTCCGCTAACACCACCGCGTCCGCTCAGTGCCTGATGACGTGTTTTACCACGTTCGGCTGCGTTGACACATGGGTGTCAGATGGCGGTTCTCACTTCATGAACGAAGTGAGCGAGAATGTGCGAAAGTTGGTAGGTACCCACCATCGTATCACGACAGCCTGCAGTCCTTGGGCGAACGAGATTGTAGAAGTAGTCGTGTTATATTTGCTACTTTCAAAACGATCTTATGTCATTATTAAGAATCGACAAAGATAGAACAAAGTAGACTCCATTATGTAGCCATATTTGGTAGTGAACTGCAGAGCAATGAAGTAAACACAATTGAATATTTCGTTCATCAATCAAGTCTTTCCAAGCTTTCCCTCTCCAAGTCTAAAAATTATAGCATCCCATGTCATCCAAACTTCATCCCGCGGAAAAGTAATAACATTTCAGACGTTTATCTATAATGCGAGGATTTGGATACGACTGTTCATTTGTAAAAGGGACGGTTCATCTCTAAAAGCGACTGTTCATTGGTAAAAGCGATTGTTCGCGCCAGGGAGTCATAGAACAT